TGTTTCACATCACCAGTTAGAGGAGTAAACTCCACTAAACCTGTTAGAGGAGTAAGCTCTACTAAACCCGTTAGAGGAGTAAACTCCACTAAACCTGTTAGAGGAGTAAGCTCTACTAAACCCGTTAGAGGAGTAAACTCCACTAAACCCATTAAAGGAGTAAACTCCACTAAACCTGTTAGAGGAGTAAACTCCACTAAACCCATTAGAGGAGTAAACTCTACTAAACCCGTTAGAGGAGTAAACTCTACTAAACCCGTTAGAGGAGTAAACTCTACTAAACCCGTTAGAGGAGTAAACTTCACTAAACCCGTTAGAGGAGTAAACTCTACTAAACCCGTTAGAGGAGTAAAATCCACTAAACCCGTTAGAGGAGTAAACTCCACTAAACCTGTTAGAGGAGTAAACTCCACTGATTGATAAATTAGATATTTTTTTATGAATAAACATTACTCCAAAAATCATCATATCTCTCATATGAAAGAACTAAAACACACTTGTAACATATGTGAACACTTCTTTAATGAATAAAAAGCGTTGCACGTTTTACAAATGTGTGAACAGAAGACAGTGTATGATGTAACATACCTTCTCCAATGTTGACTCTGCCGAAACACACAAACGAAACCAACTGATTCAATGTCGAGTGTATTATAAACAATAAATTACAACAGTATTATCAGTAATTAAAATATTTTAATTGACTTACTTAAATATGTAAATGTATATCTTTTATTATGCAATACTGCACGCTAATTGATTGGGTTGCATGTGTTTTGTTTACAAATTCGTTTCGATGTAACTTATCACATAAATTGAGATAAATGATGAAAAACATTTAAACAAAGACTTATAATATTAATAATATATTGTCCCCTCGATCGATCGTCATCTTCTATTGTCTCCTTCAAGCACGTGCTCTCTAGTGGACAAAAATAGAATTCCAGGGTTTTAACCGTAGTTGGGATCAGTCGGTTTGTTGCTGAAACAAAATATACTAGTATGTAAGAATATATGTATTTTAAAAATAATTACACAACAAAATTAAACTTTTTTTCATAAGAAGAACTAGATTACGTTGCAAATTATATCTCCTACAATAAGTAATATAATTAATTATTTATATAAGTGCGTTGTAGGTTGTCATTCCATAAAATATTTTTTATTGAAACTTCCCATGTTCGAATTGTTAAAACATGTGATTTTCATGTGATTTTTAAATCCTATAAGCATTCGTTTCTTCTAATCAAAATGAAGACTCAATGAATAATTGATAAAGATGATAATTTATGATCTTTCTGTAGTATATGACCACTGGCAACAGAGCTTCGCTTCTAATCTTTCTCAATCACCACAAAAATGTCATTTTCTTAGGTTCACTAAACACTCAAGTGACATGTAAGGTAACATTAATATCTTACCTCTACAAAAGTGACATCTAAAATGTCATTTTCTTAGGTTCACTAAACATTCAAGTGATATGTAAGGTAACATTAATATCTTAACTCTACAAAAGTGACATCTAAAATGTCATTTTCTTAGGTTCACTAAACACTCAAGTGACATGTAAGGTAACATTAATATCTTAACTCTACAAAAGTGACATCTAAAATGTCATTTTCTTAGGTTCACTAAACACTCAAGTGACATGTAAGGTAACATTAATATCTTAACTCTACAAAAGTGACATCTAAAATGTCATTTTCTTAGGTTCACTAAACACTCAAGTGACATGTAAGGTAACATTGATATCTTAACTCTACAAAAGTGACATCTAAAATGTCATTTTATTTGTTGCTTAACTGCTCCCATATGGATATGGTATTATTCAATACACCTACTAGATCTATCTCACTTTCTTATCGTTGTATACTTGTATCTAATTAACATACGATTTTATCAGCATCACCTAATCCTAACTACTAGAGTCACATTGTCTTAATTATATACATATACACAGCGTGGTCACAAGTAGATAGACACCACCTTTTCAGAAAAAATTAAATATTTCAGTCATATTCACATGAATTG